AGAGGATATACATATTATATACACATATTATATCTCCAAGTGCTTATATCAATAAAAAAGAGAGAGAGTAGACCAATGAACTGCGTGTGCAATTAAAAAGAACTAGAAAAAGAATAAAATTTTAAAATCCTAAAAATTAAAGGTGAAATTAATATAATTGACTGAGAAAACCATTGAATTAAATAAATAATGAAACTAGGAGTTGATACTACAAAAAACCCCAATAAAATAAACCATTGGTTAATATGATTTAAAGAAGAGATAAGAAAACCAAATTACTACTATCAAAAATGAAAAGGGTGACTATAACCCTAAAGAAGATGAAATGAAAGCAATTATAGGGAGTTATTTTGCTCAATTACATGCCAATAAATTTAACAACTTAAGTGAAATGGAAGAATATTTACAAAAATACAAACTGCCCAGATTAGCAGAAGAAATAGAATACCTAAATACAACCATTTTACAAAAAGAAATTAAACAGGCTGTCAATGAGCTTCCTAAGAGAAAAGCACCAGGACCAGATGGATTTACAAGTGAATTCTATCACACATTTAAAGACCAACTAATTCCAATATTAAACAGATTATTTGGAATAATAGGCAAAGAAGGGATCCTATGAACCTCCTTTTATGAGACAAACATGATACTGATACCTAAACCAGGAAAAGTAAAAATGAGAAAGAAAATTATAGACCAATTTTATTAATGAAAATGTATACAAAAATCCTAGAAAAAATACTGGCTAAAAGATTACAACCATATGTTACATAAGATTATACATTATGACCAAGGGGATTCACACCAGGAATGCAGGGATGGTTTAACATGAGGAAAACTACTAACATAATTATTATACCAATAACAAAAGTAACAAAATCATATTATAATATCAATAGATGCAGAAAAAGCGTTTGCTAAACTACAACACTCATTTCTATTAAAAACACTTGAAAGGACATAAATGGACTTTTTTTTAATGGACTTTTCTTTAAGTTGATAGGAAGCATTTATCCAAAACCATTAGCAAGCATTATTTGTAATGGGGATAAGCTAGAAGCCTTCCTAGTAAGGTCAGATGTCAAACAAGGATGCTGACTGTCACCAGTATTATTCAATATCATATTGGAAATCCTAGCAATAGCAATAAGAGAAGAAAAATAAATAGAAAGAATCAGAATAGGGAATGAGGTAATAAAATTATCTCTCTTTGCAGATGATATAACAATGTACTTGGGAAATCCTAAAGACACAACTAAAAAGATAATTGAAATAATTAATAATTTCAACAAAAGAGCAGGATATAAAGTAAACCCACACAAATCATCAGCATTCCTATATATCACTGACAGGATTCTGTAGGAAGAGACAGCTTTAAAATAACTCTTTGAGACAGTGTAAAATACCTGTGAATACACCTACCAAAAGAAAGCCAGGATCTGTATGAACAAAACCATAAAAACCTTTGTACACAAATGAAATAAGATTCAAATAAATGGAGAAATATTAATTGTTCATGAGTAGACAGGGACAATACAATAAAAATGACAAGGCTGCTAAAATTAATCTATATATTCAATGCCATATGAAATAAATTACCAAACAATTATTTTATGGAGCTAGAAAAAATAGTAACAAAATTCATCTGGAAGAACAAAAGTCAAGAATATCAAAGAAACTAATGGAAAAAAATGTAAAGGAAGGAGGTTTAGCAGTACTAGATCTTAAACTATATTCTAAGGCAGTAATTATTAAAACTATCTCGTACTGGCTGAGAAATAGAAAGGTAGATCAGTGGAACCGAGTAGACGTATAATCTACACCAGCAAACGAATATAGTAACTCAGTGTTTGACAAGTGTAAAGATTTAAGTTTTTAGGATAAGAATTCATTGTTTGGTAAAAATTGTTGGGAAAGTTGGAAAGTAGTCTGGCAGAAATTTGGCACAGACCAATATTTTACACCATTTACCAAGATAAAGTCAAAATGGATTCATGACCAAGATATGAAGGAAGATATTATGAGAAAATCTGAAGAACATGGAACATATTATCTATCAGATTTTGGATAGGTAAATAATTTATGAACAAACAAGAGATTGTGTTGTGAGATGTAAAATGGATAATTTTGATTACATTAAATTGAAAAGTTTTTGTACAAATAAAAACAAATGAAGCCAAGATCAGAAGGAAAACAGAAAACTGGGAAAAAATTTTTTTATAGATAGTTCCTCAGATAAGGATCTCATGTCTCAAGAACTTTGTCAATGTGAGTCATTCCGAATTGATAAATGATCAAAGGATATGAACAGGCAGTTTTCTAATGAAGAAATCAAAACAATTTATAGTTACAAGAAAATTGCTGTAAATCATTATTGATTAAAGAAATGCAAAATAAAACAATCTTGAGATATCATTTTACATCTATCAGACTGGCTAAAATGATAGAACGGGAAGGTGACAAATGTTGGAGGGGATGTGGAAACATTGGGACCTTAATTCATTGTTGGATCTGTGAGCTGATCCAACTATTTTGGAGAGATATTTGGAATTATGCCCAAAGAGTTATTAAACTTTGACCCAGGTACACCACTATTAGGTCTGTTTCCTGAGATGATTAGGGAAAATGGAAAATGTTTTAAAATAGGGTAGTAGCTCTCTTTGTGGTGGCAAAGGACTGGAAATTGGAAGGATGCTTGTCAATTGGGGAATGGCGAAACAAACTGTGGCATATGTTCGTGATGGAATATTACTTTGCTATGAGAAATGATGAGCTCAATGATTTTACAAAATCATGGAGAGACCTCCATAAAATAATGAAGAGTGAAATGAACAGAACCAAGAGGAGATTGTATTCAATAATAGCAGTACTGTTTTAAGAACAAATTTGAGCAACCAAGTCATTCTAGTATAAATATCCAAATTAACCTCAAAGATCCTAAGAAGATGCTGTTTAAATCTAGGAAAAGAACTGACCACACACACACACACACACACACACACACACACACACACACGTATGTATGCATGCATATATATGTGTGTATGCACATGTGTGTATGTGTATGTGTGTATTGATACAATGCATGTATATGTATGTGATACACATATACACATGTGCATATATACATATGTGCATGCATGTGTATGTATATATTTTATATACACACTTATATACAGATTTTTGACTAATGGTAGCCATCTCAAAGTTTGGGGTAGGGAAGGGAAAAAAAGAAAGTCACATGATAACTTTGTTGTATATTTGAGGGGAATAGCAAGTTGTGCGTAATGGATCTGCAATTTTGGTACAATCCTCTGTTTTTCTATCCCACTTTATTATGGAAATGCTTGTTTTATTTCTTAAGTTTAGAATAAAATAAATTTTAAAAATTGTTACATATTATGACCACATATCTATTTGAGAATAGCTCTTAGTCTTACATATTTGCTGTAAGTCTAAGACAATTCTCTATATACCTTGGATATGTAAAACGTATATGTAATTTGTAAGAGAATTCTCTCTATATATGGAATATGAAGCTTCTATCAGACACTTGACAATCAAATTTTTCCCCATTCAGTAGCTTCTATTTCTCATTATAGCCAAATTTCTTTTGTCCATGGAAAAGCTTATAAATTTTACACAATCAAAACTATCTCTTTTATCTTTTAAGATCACCTCTGTTCCTCTATTTGGTTATGATTATCCTTTCTAAACACAATTGTGAAAGTAACCTCCTACTTCTCTCTCTTTTTTGTTCTGATTGACTCCGATTGAAGCTTATTGTGGGTTGTGGTACAGGGAACTAATCTAAATGTATTTTCTGCCAAACTGCTTCCTAACTTCCTCCAAAGTTCTTATTTACCTAAAGGTTGCATTATTATAGAATTTATTATTATTATTTTACCTGAAGCTGCAATTTTTATAGGTTCTGATTATGGAGCTCCCTCTATTTACACAGATCAGCAGCTGTTCTGTAAAGATTTAGAAAATTTCCTAGGGAACTGAAAGGTTAAATGATTTGCCCAGGGAATCATAACTAGCATGCATTAGAGGTGAGATATGAATGAAGGTTATACTGATGCCAATGCTGGCCTTCTATTCACTAGCTCACACTGCCTCTTAGAACCTCATTGCTATGTCTCAGTATATGACACTCATATACTCTACAATACGAGGTTGGGTAATACCAGTTGTATAATTTTGGACAAGTTTCTACCTCTTTTTGTGCCTCTGCTTCACTGTAGAACAGTCAAGAGTCAACAAATATTTGTTAAGTGTCTACTATGTGCCAGTCACTGTTCAAATTGGAATATTAAGCTAATCTCTAAAGTCTCTTCCACAGCTAATGTTTGATGGTTATTTCAGATATAAAGCATTTTAAAGCCACACTTACCTTCATTGTAATTTATATTTATCTTGTTTCTTCCCAAGCCCTATTAGACTTTAAGCCTATCAGAGCTATGGCTATACACACACACACATACAGGTAGATAGATATTATCTATGTATATATATGTACACACACACACACACAATGGCTAGTTATATGTTATATATTTCCCCTACACTTCATAGGACCTAGTGAAAGAGCTCTTTCCAAGATTGGGGCCCTGTTTGTCTCTTCTACTCTGTGAAAGCAGGGCCTAGGGGTAGAGTCAGGAGGGAGATGGAAGCATTTGCTTCCTCACTGGTGAGGAACCACCTTCTTCATCTCCATGACTACTAACAAATTCATAGACTGTTGAACAGGAATGAATCTTAGAGATCCTGTTGACCTTACAGATCATTTAAGTCAACTCCTTCAGGTCATACATGGAGAAACTGAGTCCCAGAGAAAGGAAGTAACTTGCCCAAAGTCAAACAGCAAAATTATGGAAGAGTAAGGATTAAAGCTACACTCTTTTGAGTCTCAGCCCAGGTTATTTGCCTCTATACCACATTCATTGTCTTCTCCTCTTTCCAAATCCTCTGAGTTGCTCCCAATGACTACACCAGACTCTGAATACAAGAAGTTTATTAGAAATCAAAGAGATGGAGTAATATGTGATGATGCCTCATTCATCATAGAACTGGGGTAGCTCCTTCCCCAGGATGATTTCCTGTTTGGTGCCGGCAGCTGTGATGGTGACCAAATAGATGACCCCTCCACTGGAGCCATCCCTGCCCATGGCCAGAGCAATAGCTATTGAGAGATTTGAACAGGCGGGGGAAGAGGCAGGTTTATCCTGGTTATAGACCCTTTTGTCTATCTCAGTCATCTATTCTCAGAGCCCAGGGTATCCATCGCTTTGGGAGGTTTATCCCCTTTTATTGCTGCTCCCTCCCCAAGGACCATTGTTCTAGTCCTAATTTCCTCCCTCCCCTTCCCCAAAGGATAGTTATCATTAATAGTGAACTGTCAGCACTCCTCAAGGGACATGACTGGTTTATAGGTGGCATCCATATAGCCATAAATGTAGGTACTCCCAGAACCCCCTATAGGAAATGGCTTTTGAATCAGCATCCCTTTTAAGGTCCTATATACCTGAGATAATGTAATCAAAATGTAAGATGATGATGATAATGATGATGGCAACTAACATTTATATAGCACTTAGTATACGCTAAGCACTTTACAATTATTATCTTATTTGATCTTCACAACAACCTTGGGAAGTAGGTGGTATTATCCACATTTAACAGATGGGGAAACTGAGGCAAAAAAAGTAACTTGCCCAGGATCACACAGCTAGTAAGTGTCTGAGGCCACATTTGAACTCAGGTTTTCCTGACTACAGTTCTCTTCTTTTGGAGTCCCAGAGAAGAGAGCCTCAGTCCCCTGGGCCTTATATTCCACACTTCAAGCCTCACACTGAAATCACACTTTAATCTCCAGCAACAGTAGCTCTGGCCCTCATTGGCAGGATGACTTGTGACCCCTCTAACCAATTACAAGTGTAGTGATCCTTTTGGGAGGGTCTCACCTGTCCTCCTTGGTATGGATCCCAGCCAGTCACCATCAGATGGGCTGAAAGCTCTTCTTGGTATTTATAAGTGACATTCCTCACTGTGTTTGCAGCAGGCAGAACAAGGGGGAGGTTCTTCTAGCTCCATCCTGTGGAGATTGATAGCCATTGTTCCCTGAACTATCACACTCCTGCCTCTCTCTCAAATCTTCATAAACCAAATATAAAAACTTATACCTGTAATACTCCTAAATCCAATTTCACTACACTTTTGATTTTTCACTATCTTCCCTTTGTTGTCTGCTTCTCCCTCTCCACCCCAACACAAACTACAAATTCCTTTGATGGGGATAGACTCCTTCTCATGGTGTCTAAAGAGGTCTACACCCTCCCCACCACCCACCTACCACAATCTCTTTACTCAGTGTGTGTTAAGTAGCATTGGGATAGGGGAATGTAATGAAGAGGGAGATATCCAGCTGCAGTAGTTTGGATGGGGAGTATATGAAGAAGAGCATAAAAAATTTCAAGGCCATTCCTGACTCATACCCATGAAGCTCCAGCTGGTAGGTGGCCATGTCGGCTATGGCCTGGGCATCAGCAGCTGAACCAGATAGTGCACAATAGATAGGTTGGTGCAGAGGGGCCAGCTTGTTAAACACTCTGTTCACTACAGCTGCTCTGAATGGTGGAGGAAGGAGATGATAAGGGAGAGGCTATTAAGGAAGAGACTTGAGGAATAAAGACCTGATCCTTATTTGCTCATCCTTTCTAGTTACACTGCTCAATTATCCTGGTGTTCTCACTCTTAACAAACATATCCTCGACCCCTATTTTACCTAAGTATACACTTACCTAGGTCCTCATCCCTTTAAATTTCCTTCCATAGTCTGCTTCCAACTTCTTATTATACCAGCCCCTGCTTTGTTATTCATGTTGACCCCATGTGTTCCAAAACTACCTCTGCAATGCTTCTTATGCCTGGGCTAGGCAACATGCCTATTTGGGGAGAGTGCCTTAATCCCTGATCCTCCCCTGATACTTACCCTGCAGAAACTCGGGAATCAGAACCCACCACAACACCACCATCAAACTCCACTGCTGTTATAGTTGTCTATAGGAACATAAACTTTTAGAATGTTAAAGCTGAAAGACACCTTTACACTCTCCCCCTCATTTTACAGGTAACAGAAAACAGACAGATTACAAGAAATAGAAACACAAAAGCTGTTACAAGTTTGGTTAGTGGCAAAGCTGGAAGTCAAACCGAACAGATCTGATTTCCAATATAGTATTCTTGCCATTATGTCCCATTCCTTTATATGACAGGAAGGAGGTATCTCAACCTGGCTAAGGGTCAGACCCTTTCCTTAAACCCAGACCTTAGTGCCTAAATCTTAGATTCCCCCAAGGACATCCTTCCCTACCACAGGGAAAAGAATATTGGGAAAACCCAGGGACCACTTGTTACCCTTTTGGGGAGGGAAGGTTGTGAGATGTGGGATTGAGGGAAAGTTGTGATTACCTTTATAGGCCTGGTTGTTCCCCTGTTGAAATGATCTCCGGTGGAAAAAGTTTAAATGTGTGATGTTTGCTGTCTCATTACGGTACAGTACTAGCTAGGCAGGGTAGCCACAAATTTTTAAAAAAAGAATTGCTGCTTGGTTCCCCCCAATAAGTTTAGATGATTCTCATGGTAAGTTCTCAGGACGGTGAAGTGATGGTTGGGTATTTAGGAACTAGGCCATGAGGACACTTTTTTTTTAAACTGAAGAGATGTGATTAAGCAGATTTTGATAAGGAGGAAAATAGATTTCTCTGGTAGCCAGAGGAGAAATCTTGAGTTCCAAAAAAACCTAGAATCTGTGGCCTGAACCTAGTTAGAACATTATATACTTAAGTTTGACTGGTTTGTAAATATCCGTTATTATTACTCTTGCTGCCTGAAGTAAAAAAAAATCACTACATCTGTATTCCAGAAGACTGTCCTAATGACTTATTGTTACTTATTCAAACCAGACCACAAGCTGGCTATAATTTACCTTCTTAGCCTTATCTCATGCTATTGTCCCTTAAGTACTTTATTCTTTACACACAAACATTTACCGTTTGTTCATCGTGATTCAGAGGACCTGAGTCCAATCTCAGGCCTGCTACTAAATAGCTGTGTGATCTTGGACTAATCATTTCAACTCTTTGATCCTGAGTCTCCCCAACTGTAAAGAAGGAATTCCTCTCTAAAGTCCCTTCTGATCCTAAGTTCTGCTCTTTCTCACCTCAATGCTTTTGTTAATGTCTTTCCCTATATCTGTAATGCCTTCTCTTTGCCTCCATTTAAATCCTCCCTATTTTCTTGACCCAACTCAATGAATGTCATTTTGTCCAAATTTTTTTTTCAACAAGTCACCTCATTTCCTCCTCAGAACTGTAGTTTCTATGTAGATGTTGTACAGTGTTATCCCCATTAGACTATAAGCTCCACAAAGGCAGTGACCATGTTTGACTTTTCCCCATTACTTCACCCAGTGCATCGGGGTCTGTACAGGTGCTGATTAAATGTCTGCTGAATTAAATCTATTATGAGGAGTGAGGAGGCAGCCCTACATTCCTGGGTCATTGGTGTGCTACAGGGTTGTTCAGTGTGCACTCCTTGAGTAGTGGCAGTGAAATACAGATCAGTTGTCTGTTGGATGCCCCTCTCTTTCCTCCTCTCCATCTTCCTCAGGCAATCAGCTTATGGGCTAAGTCCCCAGAGTAGTCTTGTGTGACGAGATTAGCATGCTCACACCTGAACCAAGGATGAAGATTACCTGGGGTACTACCAGACCAGGAGTACTCCCCCACTTGTCCCTATAGTTATCATTCTCCCCGTGAGTCCTTCTGGAAGCAGTCTATGCGATGAATTGACTGTTCTTAACAAATTATTTTCTATCACTATAGTCCAAGTGACCACGTGGCTCCTTCCTGGAGTCTATGTTCTTCTTCTCTCTTCCCCCAAATCCCCTAACCCACCACTGCCAAGTTTCCCCAGAGAAGCGAAAGCAAAGGGGCTTGGAAGTCGCTTCTCCCCCGGTCTCTGCCGCGGAGTCTGGACGCCCCTCTTCGGCCTCCTTCCGGAGCCTTTAGAGTTTATCTGCACTCCATACTTCTAGACTGCCTCTCCCAAAGTGAGACTTTTCTTCCTACCGTGGGCTGCCTGAGGAAGGGTGGTGAAGGGTTGCTTTCACGTGTATTCTTCGGCTTGGTCCGTGACGCCGGGCTTCCAACGCCGTACCCCCTCTCTATCCCTCTTTGCTGTCCCTCGAGCCTCTTACTCCAGTATGGACTTCTCCGAATCCGGGAAGGTCCCCACAATAAGAACTCCCCCTGTGCATTGCTCCTCTCCGCCCCCGGCCCTGCTTTCTGACGAGGGATGGAGCGCCAGCCCCGCTCCTCCTTGCTCCGCTTCCCTCCAGGGGGCGCCTCTGTAGTATTTGTCTGCCGTCCAGTCCAGCTCCTAACCTGTTTAGGGCTGATCTGCTTGGTGACTGGTGACGCTGTAGCCTGAGGAGGACCAGTTGGAGGGAGTGGTTCTTCTGAGCCGAGAACTGAGCTACTTGTGGGGTTGAGGTAGTGGTTGGAGAGGTGGGGTTAGGGGAGGGGCAAGGCGGCTTTCTTTCCCCCGTTTGTTTCAAGTCTCAGACCTAGGTCTGGAATCTCCTGGATGGGGGCGGTTTTGGCAGGGCGGATCCAATGAACCTCGGTAGCTTTCGGTTTCTTTTCCTGGAAAGGGCTTTGCTTCTCGCTACTGAGAAGCCTGCCACATTTCGCTGCCTGAGGTAGTCGGAGGCTCTGACCGCGGCCCGCCCCTTCCTTTACTCCTAGCCCTGTCCAGGAGCCTCTCCATACACAGACACTGGGCACCCTTTGGTTTGGGACCCAGACTTTTAGCCACAGGGCGGAGGGACGCAGAGGAACCCGTCTCAGGACCCCGGACAGCGCCCCGAGCATGGCTGGCTCTGGGTCTCCCGGGTCGCTCCGATGGCCCCGAATCTCTTCTAGGGGTCTGCAGGCGCTGCTGCTCTTGCTTCTCATGGACTGGGCGCTGCTCCGTCCGGCGCTGCCTCAGCTCCTGCTTGTGGTCTTGCCCACTGGGCCTCCGCTTCTCCGGCTCTGGGTGACTGGCCTGGGCCGTTGGGGGATGTTGTGGCTGGGAGTGCATTGGACCACTAAGCAGGAAGGGGTCGGAGCTAAAAGTTGGAGGACTGCGTTGGGGCCCCTAACCGCAGCACTGGGACTGGCGCTGCCCGGGCTAGCCTCGTTCAGGGCTCTGGGAGGGAGGGAGACTCCGAGGGGTGGAGGCGAGGCCGGGCAGCTGTACTGGGGGAGCCGGCTCGATGCTTTCGCTCTCAGTTATGCCGTGGCACTGCTGGCGCTTTTCCTGTGGCAGAAACTTGGAGATCTTTGGGTGCCGGGGAGTCCCAAGGGCTCGGGGTCCATCATACACCGGCTGCTGGGCTTCCTGGGCCCAGGACTGCGTCGCTTCCCACTAGTGATCTTCTTCCTCCTGTTGTCCTGTCTAGGTGAGGAGAGGGAGAATGCAAGGGACTGGGCAAATTGGGGAGAATTGAAGATTATGGGCGGTGAGTCAGGGGGACAGGAGAGAGGTTTGTAGGCAGAACTTTATATCCAGAACGTCTGACTCCAAATCTAGTTGTCTTGCCTTTACACCACAAGTGCTTAGGAGTCAGGAGATCTACGTTCTGATGCTGTGTGTTAAGCTGTATGACTTTGGCAAATTCATCTTACCTCTCTGGGTTTCTGTCTCAGATGGAGGGTTGGCCTGTGTAATCTCATAGGGGCCTAACAGAGAGGTGTAACATCCTATGGTTTGTGGAAATAGTGAGAGGATTGGGGTGTAACTGTGTGATAAAGGTGACTCTTCAGATGAGGGAATTATCTTTTTATCTCTGTACCAGGGAAGATGGAGTTGTAGTCCAACTGCAAGTCCCCAGCTTTGATATAGTAAACCTCCAATAAGCATCTATTAGTGGATTAATTGTCACTCTCTCCCTCCCTGATGCTACCTCATCACCTCCAGGAGAGATGGCTATCCCATTCTTTACTGGTCGCCTCACAGACTGGATCCTGGAGGATGAAGCAGCTGCCGTCTTCAGCCGCAACATCGCTTTCATGTCGATACTCACGCTAGCCAGGTCTGGGAACTGGGCTTGGAAACTCAGAGAATGGGGAACTAGGGAACTGAGGAAGTTGGAAGCTAGACCGGCACTCTGGGCAGGTTGATACAGCAGAAGACTCCCTCACTCCCAAATATTAAGCCTCCACCTAATCCTCCTCCCTTCCTCTCATTTCTTCCCAGTGCTTTGTTAGAGTTCTTGGGTGATGGAATTTACAATTACACAATGGGCCAAGCCCACAACAACCTTCAGGGACAAGTGTTCCGGGCTGTGCTGTCCCAGGAGGCTGACTTTTTCCAACAGAACCAAACAGGTGAGTCTTTGTATTCTCACACAAGAACATTCTTATACTTCTTACAACAAAAGGCATCAAACATTCATTAAGCACCAGCTTTATTCAGAGAGTTGTGCTGGGTGATAGGGGAGATAGAAAATTTAGGTAAGACCCAGTCCCTACTCTCCTGGAGCTTATTGTCTAATAGGATGAAGAGGGACCGCTCACTACATCAATTTGAATGTGAGATCTGTGTGAGTTCAAGAAACTTTAAAATGGGAGGACATTTGATCAGTTACGTCCAACATTTGGCCCCAAAGACCTCCCCAAATCAATGATCACATGGTAATTCAGGGGTCCACACCAAGGAACAAAGAGAAAACCATGCCTAAGACTTCTGTCTCCAAGGGACGTATGTTGAAGAATAGTCTATAAAGCTGGATGAAGCCTGAAGATTACTGGAGACAAGAGCAGTGTGGTGGTCCTCAAAGGAAGGGCAACATAGCATAGTGGATACAGTCCTGGACTGGAAGTCAGGAAGACCTGGGTTTCAGTTCAGCATCAGGCACTTCCTGGCTGCATGACTTTGGGCAAGTCTTTTAACTTTCATTTCTTCATCTGTAAAAAGAAAAGGGTGGACTTGCTGTCCTCTTAGGTCCTTTACAGTTCTAAATCTTCTTTGCTGTTGTCTGTGTCCCAATTGAGCTGATGTTGTGGAAGTTTCAAATATGGCTTCCCAGCTTTTCCTTTTTGAACAAGGAAAGACCCATCTCTAATGCATGTTAAAAATGCCTTTTTGGGGAGGCAGGGTTTCTAATATGAGAAATAATGGGGTGCAAGGTGTTATCTGTAACCTTTGCTTCCAAATTTCTCTTTTAGACTTTTGAGCATAGTAGTTATTTGAAGGTGGGGGTTTGGGAAGAGTGTGGAATAAAAATGCTTCCTAATCTACTCTTTGCTAACAAAGGGACATGATGGAGTATCTGATGCATGATCCCAGTTGCCATGGGGCAGGGCCCTTTGAGCCCAGATGTATATTTACCTGTATAGTCATATTTCAGAAGATGGAGACCTTTTTGACTGGGTAGAATGGTGAAAGCAAAAAATTGTAAGAAGTACCTAAGCTTACCTAGGTATAAAAGATAGTTTGTCAATCAATATTTATTAAGCACTTGCTATGTGCTAGGTGGGGCAGCTAAGTGGTGCAGTGGATGGAGTGCCAGGCCTGGAGTCAGGAAGACCTGAGTTCAAATCCAAGCTGAGTGACCCTGACTTAACCCTATTTGCCTCAGTTTCTTCATCTGTAAAATGAGCTGGAGAAGGAAATAGCAAACCACCCTGGTAGCTTTGCCAAGAAAATCCCAAATGTGCTCACAGAGAGTTGGGCAAGACTAATCAACAAAAGAACAACAACAATGTGCTAGGTACTGTCCTAAGCATTGTGGATATAAAAAGGGAGAAGACAGCTCCTTCCCTGAAGTAGTTTATCATTTAATGAAGGAAGACAACATACAAAAGGAAGGTAAAAAGGAATGGGACCAAAGGGGTAGTACCCAGCTCAGGGGCATGATGGGGAAATCCAAAAGAGTGGAATTCAGCTAAGGTGGAAATGAAGAGAAGGCTTCCCTGGGCACTCTCCTTAAATGGAGGCTCTGGGAGAACCTCTCCGCTTTCCAATCAGATGGAGCAAACGGCCCCAGGGGCAGAGGGTGCTGCTGCAGTATGAGTTTCAGGGCTGAAGTAATTTTGCAGAATAAAGAGGTTTCCGATGATGGAGATGTCCAGAGAAGTGCATCAGGGTGGAATAGTAATGGAGTAATAGGGGTAAGGGTATTCCCATGGAATTCTGCCTCTAAAGTGCCAGGCCAGTAGGAGGAGGATGACTTTGGGTCATTTTCTGAAGTGAAAATCAAAAGTTTTCTAATGAAGGAACTTAAAACTTTTGTTCTAAAGATTCTACAAATGAATGCTATAAGAGAGGAGGAAATAAAATTCCAAATCCCAATACATGTGTGCACATGTGTGAAGCTTCATTATTAATTAATGTATAAATATGAATACACATTTATGTTTTCAGGCAATAATGTCAATTAATTTCTATTCCTAAGTGTAAGGGTGCTGCTTAAAGTTACAGAATTCTAAGAAGCAACTATGTCCTCATGCATAATGCAAAGGTCACAAAGTAGACACTGAGATGAATCATGTCAATCATAGTTTAAGGGGCCCTATAGCATCTAAGGAACAGAACACTAATATGGCTAGCTACAATACACAATATCAGGTGATATGTATGATAGAAAGTTATAGGGAAGAAAAATGATCTCTGTAATCTGAGGGATAAGAGAAAATTAAGGTAGGCTTCTTGGGGGAATGTAGCGCTGGAGTTGAGCTTGAAAGAATGTATGAGAATTCACAGGCAAAGGTGGGGAAAGAGGACATTCCAGGCATAAGGAACAAAGACATGTCACCATAACAGCACAGTTTATGCTGATAGGGAGCAGATTGTATAGAGGAGAGTATTATGAAATGAGTGAAAGAGTGTGGGATTGGGGAGGACCTTGAATGACAGACAGGAGGAATATGAATATTATTTAGTAGACAATAGGGAACTTCTGAAAACTTGTGCAGAGAAGTTAACATGATAAAATCTATGCACAAGAATGAATCTTTTGACAGCAGTATGAAGGATAGACTGGGGGGAGAAGAGAGTAGAGACAAAAAGCCTCTTGCAGTATTCCAAGTGGGTGGAAATTAGGGGAAAGGTCTTTCCCAGGGTGGTGGCAGTGAGAACAGATTCCCCCCCCCGCTCCCCATTGCTCTATTTCCTTATGCCTTTTATACAACCCTATATAGTTCTCATTATACTTTCTTTGGCCATTTAAGCCAAAGATCAGAGAGGACACACTACTATATACATCCCATTTACATAAAAATATTGATGCTATAGTCCCTTTATTCTCAGAACCAGAGAGGTTTGCCTCCTAATACTCTTGCTGTGCCTCTATATAGTCCCAACAACTTGCCATGTTTAGGACCCTTGGTCCTCTGGCTGCATGACTGCCCAATATGGCATTTCTTGATCCCCAAGGAGAACTTTGCAGATGTGATCCTGCTCTAGCACCCAACCTCACATACCCCTCACCAATCTTCTTGGAACTCTGCAAGCCCTTTAGGGGCCC